GAGTTAGGAAGACTTTGGATATTATGGCTGAACATTTCTTCTAGCCATATATGAAAAGCGATGTTGAAAGTATTTGTGAGAGATGTATTGTTTGTAAGCAAGCTAAGTCAAAAGTAAAGCCTCATGGTTTGTATACATTATTGCCAATTTCTAGCAATCCTTGGATTGACATTTCAATGGATTTTGTTTTAGGTTTGCCTAGGAAAAAGAGAGGTGGAGATTCAGTTTTTGTGATTGTTGATAGCTTTTAAAAAATGGCTCATTTTATTCCATGTCATAAAACTAATGATGTAAGTAACATAACCGATTTGTTATTTTGTGAAATTGTGCATGGATTACCCAAAAGTATTGTTTCGATGAGAATGTCAAATTCCTTAGTTATTTTTGGAAAACTTTATAGGGAAAATTATGAAATAAGTTGTTATTTTCAATAACTTACCATTCGCAAACCGATGGCCAAACTAAGGTCATCGATAGAACTTTATCCACTTTGTTGCATGAAACTACTCGAATCGACCAATTCAATCTTATTTACCTAGTCAAATTTACTAAACATATTGATTCTTCTAAGATGCTCTAACATTCAAAACCATGAGCAACTACACCTTAACTTATCTCATTGGATGAAACATTTGAGCATCTAGTAAGCATTGGGCAAATCATCACATCCTAACCTAACCTAATGAAACCTCATATTCCTCCATGTTATAAATCAAATAAGGGATGTGAATGTTAATCATGTGAGACCCGGTATAACATCAATGATTATGTTATGTCTAAGAAGAAACTATTGAATTTGATTTAGCAAGATGGGGTTAGTTTTGGCAACGGTATGATTGTTCAGCTTTTAAGAAGAAGCTATCGGGTTCGATTAAGCAAGGTTGGATCACTCGTTGATAGTGGTATGAATGCTTCCAATCCGAACATAACCTACTCCCAAACCATCCGGTTGTCCACGTATTAGATGGGACTACTAAGTGAGTTCAAAAATTTTCATGCATGCTCATAATTTACAATTATGGTCTTTTTAATTTTGTCAAATTTTGAACTCTACTTTAAAATAATAATAATAATAATAATAACAACACATTTTGGCTATACATGAATTGACTTGTTTCTTTGATCGAAGGAGTGATACCTATTCACTTTTTGTAATTTTATATTGTTTGATTTGAAATTAAGAGATGTTCATTTGGAAGTATCATTTGGCATTAGATTCTTTTCATCAAGAAAATATAGTGGTAAATTCATTTAAAAAACATTCAAAATATTAATCAAATTTCAAATCATGACAAACATATGCTAGTGACAATTCTTCAATTCGATGAACCTAAAAATACATCCTCCTACTAATCTTTTTGAGTAGAAAGTAATGAAGATAATCTCTTATTTTGGTGAAATCAAAAAATCTAAAAAAAATAAAAAAATCATCATCGTTTTCCAAATAATCGCTTGAAAAAAGGTTTTGCTTAGAAAATCTTTATGAAGCCCAAAGTTGAAAGAATAAATGATTGGTGCCTCAAATGATGATAGATAGTATATCTTCGGGTCATGCTCTCAAATTACATTTATCATTTCCTCTTCTAAGTTAAGCTAAGGGTTTTCCAAAGTAATTTTCAAAGATGTTAGCATTTATCAACATAGGCAAATTAGCCATTGAGATGAGAAAAGACCATTTTTCAAATATCTCATAAAATTTTCATCCCTCGTCATCCCACTTTGAGCCTTGATGATTTCTTTCATGATTACTCGGACTAGGATCACCTCTCACACTAGAAGCGGAATGCAAAGTCCATAAATAGTCGATAAAACTCTCAAAATTTTTTATCAAAAGAATCCATCAATGGCTTGAAAAGAAAAAAAAGAATAAAAAAGAATACTAAAAAGAAAATATGTAATACAAAATTTTTTATTTAAGATGAGAGTGAAGATTCGGACAAACTAACAAGGAGAGTTAAAGTTAGGAAAAAAGGTCAACACTCAAAATGATAAAGCCACCTCGACAACCTAAAAGGAAAGTTTTTCTTATAATAGCCCAACTAATAGCTAAAGTGACAAAATTCAAGTAGGATTTCCTAAAGAAACTTCTATGAAAAACAAAATGATCCTATGTTATAAGACCCTTAAATACTTTTTGATCCATTATATCATTCTTTCATGAGCCCAAGCCATAACCTACATTAGTTGCATTTATAAGCACTTTCTAATCAAAGGCAGTTCTTTTATGTTGTTGGATTTTAATCTCAAAAGGAAAAAAAGAATGATTGAAAAAGACAAGAAAACATGACCAATTGATGTGTTGTTTGTTATTTTTTATAACATCGAATCATAAGTTTTCATCAACTAACTTGGGAAAAAAATAAATAGAATCAATATATTTTTAGGAAAAATTATCCTTCACAACCTTTTTTTTCAAAATACTTTATACTCAAATCTTTTCCATTTACCCAAAATGGTTAACCATTTGATCAATCACCTTCAAGCATATCAAAAGCCAATATTTTATGGAAACTTTGCATCATCTAAATACATTTTTGCTTGCTTATCCCAATAAACCTTTTGAGGAAATTGCATCATAGCATTCAAATATCATGTTTTGACTTTTGATCAATCAATTGGAACAACTTTATGAATGGAAGTATTTTCATCGAACATCTCTATATTTTTTTTAAATAATCTGAATTGTTTTAAGAGAATCATTCAAATTCATGACTTAATCCATAAAAACCAAATGTCTATTCAATGATTTTTCTTAAAATATGATAAAAATGTTAAGACCAATTTACAAATTATGATGAAAGCACCGGAAGATAAACATTTGAACACAATCGGTGATTATGTTAAGAAAACGATAAATGTTTGATCTTGACCAACAATTGGGGTTATCTCGTAGCTCGAATTGAATGGCAATCTATTAAAATAAGAACATTTGAGGGCAACATTAAGGATCTAACAACTCCAACTAATTTCAATAACTGATTAGATAATGGCATCACTATGCTAACTGAAGGATTAAAATCAAAATAGTAAGCTTTTGAGTATAAATCAAAGCGATCAAGGCCATTAAGCTAGGGGCAAAGAGTAATCTTGAGGGAGAATAATGACTCGGCTAAGGTTTGATAAGTAATCGGAGTAGTCAAGCATAGTCTCATAGGGAGAATAATGACTCGGCTAAGTTTTGATAAGTAATCGGAAGCGATCGAGCATAGTCTTATAGGGGTACACCATAAGGTTAACCACATCAAAGTTTAAAAAATTTCATCTACCTCAATTGATTGGAGAAAGTAAAAACGACTCAAGTTCATAATGAATAGTGATCTAGGCCTATGGGATAAGGAAATTTTGACAATACTACAAGATATGTTCCGAGTACTGAAGTTTAGAATAAGGCACCACATGAGAAGTTGAGGGCTAACAAGGTGAGTCAACTTATATTTCTTCCACATAAGAAACTAATCACCGCAATCAGTTCATTGATATACTATAGGAAAATACCCCATCAATGATCACCCAAAGTGATCCATATATCTTTTTCGATTGAATCACCGGTCGAATGTTCATTTCTTCCATCTTGGTTTTTCAAAAAGAAAAAGATCACCTAAAGTAGTTTGTATATGTTTTTGATTGAATAACCTATCAAAGGTTCATTTCTCTAATCTCGTTTTTTGTAATACATATTTAACTTTTAGGACAAGTCTTCCTCCAATTTGGCCATGTACTTGTGTATTCATTTTTAGCATAGGTCGCCATTTAATATGGCCATGTATCGTATATTTAATTTTTAGGGTAGGCGAGTCCTCAAATTTGGCTATTTACTACGGATTTAATTTTTAAGGTAGGCCAACCTACAATTTGGCCATATAATGCATGTTTAATTTTTAGGACAAGCCACCCTCTAATTTGACTATATATCGCATATGTAGTTTTCAAGGCGATCGCCTTTCAATTTCGTCATGTATTACATATTTAATTATCGGGCGAGAAAGTCCTTCAATTTGGCCATGTACTCGTATATTTAATTTTCGGGATAGGTCGCCCTTTAATTTAGCCATGTACTTGTATATTTAATTTTTCAAGACAAGTCGTCTTAATTAACATGGCCATTGATTGTATATTTAATTTTCGGGACGAGTCGTCCTCCAATTTGGCCATGTACTAAATATTTAATTTTCGGGACAAGTTGTCCTTCAATTTGACCATGTACTTGTATATTTAATTTTAAGGACATAACGCCTTTTAATTTGATCATGTATTGCATATTTAATTTTCAAAGCGAGACCACCCTTCAATTTTACCACGCACTCGTATATTTATTTTTTCAAGACAGATCGCCTTAACAATAAATCCATGTAATTCATATTTTATTTTTACGAAAAGCCACCCTTCATAACAAAGACATCTTATCACATTTTTATTTTTCAAAGAAGGTTGCCTAGAACAATCAAACCAATCTAAAAAAAAAAAGTAGAGAAAAAGAAGAATTTCATTACAAGCTTATTATACAAAGTGATAGAAAAATATATTTTTCATTTGATTTTGTGTCATAAGAATTATAAAGAGGGAACAATTGTCATAACCTAAAAATTCTATATATTTTTATTATTTTTATTATTTCTCATTTATTTTATTTTATTTATCTCATTTTACTTTGTTTTAACATTTACTACAAAAACTAAAAAAATGAAAAAAAAGAACAAAAATACACAACACACACACACACACATACACACACACATATAATTCAAAATACCAAAAATGAAAAAAAAAATTGACTCATTCCCCTCAACCCTAAATTTCTTCTATAAAAACAATATTTTCCCCGATGATTGAAGGTAGCCATAAGAGGAGCAATAAGAGAGGCTAAAAGGAGGCTTACATAATACTCCTACCTTTAAAAAACATTTAGCAAGAATAAAAATGTAAAGAGATAAAAAAAAACCTTGCGACCACCCACTCCTTCACAAATCTTCATAGCCACATCCAAAAAACTAATATCATCTTCAACCTCTAACTCTTTCCATCCCCATAAAAGCTTCACCACCACATAAGACAAGTAGCTCCATCTTTGCCATCAAACACTGCTACAACCACATACCAAATCTTAATACCTTCGACAAACCCCAATCGAAACCCACCACTAAAAGGAGCGAGTATAAGAAAAACTTAGAGGAAAACCTACATCCATGGCCCTCATTTCCTTCGACCGACTATCACCATCCAAACTAGTACAAGCATTATAAAGCCTCCCTTTACAATTGATACTACCAAAGAGACCATACATAAGCTACTAGACCCATGTAGCTAGTCATCATCATAGTTTCTTCTTCATCATAAAAGCTTCTTAGAGTTACTTAACTTCTTCAAATAAGGAGCCACCCCATTCCACCAAAAAAAAGTGATTGCCAACAACCTTTGCCATTCAAATAGACCTCTATTTCTCTCATTGATCCAGCCATCATCTTTTTCTCCCCCACTATCCAAAACCTAGTTGAATTCCACATACCACCATAGTTTCTCATTCACTTTAACTCATACAAACAACAACCATCCACACCATTCCCCTTATTCTCCAGTATCGCCAAGAAACCATCACCTCTAGGCCACCATTTAAAGTCATACCCCAAGCCATCACTCTCTTCTCCACCACTATCACGAGCTTGAGTACCATAATCTAACCATCTCTACTACTATAACTCTCATCACCCTTACAGCCTAAAGCAAACCTAACTCGCTATTTGCAATCCATCCACCAAACAAACACCATGGAAGCTCTCTTTTTCATAAGCCAATAGCCACTATAGTTATTGCTAAGACCCCACAATCAAAACACCATTCAAATCAGCCTATCCAATTACCCAAACGTCACCAAGCACCCATCCATCATAACCGATTTCCTTCTTATCCAAAATAATAGCCTTCACCTATCATAATAAAGAAAACATTTGGTGGACATATCTCCCAATCCAGAATCAACAACCCTTAACACCCAAAACCAGCCCTTTCTCCTCATAAGACCTCAAACCAAGTAGCCCTAGTAAACCCTTATAAACCCTTCATCATTAAACCCAATCCTCCTCACCAAAAATAACAAATCACTACCTTATAGGAAAAAACACAAACACACGGTGTACATGCTTCCCTAAACCACAAGTATTGTCATCTCTTATTTTCACAACCATAGTACCCGTAGATAATGTATCCTACACTATCCACTGATCTCACCCATCTTCATAGTCTCCCAATACAAAATTCCCAATTCAATACAAGTACTTAATCTTCATCTCATATCTAAGCCTTTTCATCTACCCGAACACCTCCTTACAAACCCATTTTCAATTTGTCCTAGCTTCTCCCTACAAATCACCTTTTTTGCTAACACCCCTAACCTATCATCAATAACCTATGCTCAACCATCTTCACTCGTAAGCCATAACCTTTCACATCATTATTGGTGATGAAGGAGAAGGATATGAGAGACAATTCAGCCTATAGATCTTAGAGGTGGAATTTATCTTTAGAGTGGGTTTGTTTGGCATCAAAGAAGATGAAGAGAGAATGAGGGTGAAAATTTTTGGGTCAACTTATCTTACGAAGTAAATGATTGGATAAAAGGAGAGCATGGATAGGAGATTGTGTGATCTTGGTGAAGTTTCAAAAGAAATGGGAGAAATAGATAATGAGGAGAGAAGATGGAAGGTATAATTTTCAATCTTGTTTATTTTGTGTCCGGCTTAAGGAAAATGTGAAAGAAGTGTAAGTTTGGCTCTTTGGTTTAAAAAATATGGAAAGAGGGGTTGGACAAGTCCATCCCATGGGAAAGCTAAGCGAGTTAGGCTAATCCCAACCCACATAGTCCAACATTAGGCTGATTTCAGCCTAGCCTAAGCCCAAAAAGGAAAGACTAGCCTGCCTAGAGGCTAGTCTAACGACCCTAGCCTAGTGGGCTAAGGGTTCACTGACCCAAAAAGAAAACATAAAAGAGAGCTCAATGCTTTAATGTTTTTTCCTAACAAAATCACCCCGAATGTTTTTATGTATACATTTTTATCTTATGCTTAATTTTAGATTTAGTATTTTAAATGTCTTAAAATTTATTTAGTTAATATCAATTTTAGAATTTATTTTAATAGTTAGAATAGGTGATTAATGGGTGGACGAATTGTCAAGTCTCTTATTTTTTACGGATCGAAGACACTTCACCATTAATAAAAAAAATAAAAAAATAAAAATGATAAACAAAAAAAAAGGAAGGCTAAGAGTTAAGTTTAATTTTAGGATTTCATTTTAAAATTAGATTAATAATTAATGGATGAGTGAATTGTCGAGTCTCCTAATTCTTAGAGACCGATGATGATTTTTCATCAAAATGTCAATAATTAGTTTAATAGTTAATAGGTGAACGAATTATCGAGTCTCCTAATTCTTAGGGACGAGATAATGATCCTCCATCAAATCATAACCCATCAATATTAATTTAATTTGGAAATTGGAGTTCAAATAAAAAATAGCTTAGCACAAAATAAAATGCTTTAGGAGATGAATTTAAGACTAAACTAGATGTAGTTCTTTTCTTAGGAAAAATTGATCAATATCTTCCCAAACCGTAACCAACTCCTTGCTTGAAAATCTCTACGAGTAGTGCTATTTTTAATTTCCTTATTCCTTTATTACTAGGTGGTGACTATAAACTCATGAATAACTCACATCCCTAGAATAACTCATAAACGAGATACAAATCTCTAAGAAGTGAGAATTTTTTAGAGTTCCATTTGACGTCGCATAACGATAAGCTCTTTGGATATTCTCAACACTAGCTAAATTCCATGTAAGTATAATCAAACTCAACTACATCACAAGACATATGAACTGTATGGTTTATTATGTTGATATGCTTAATCAATGATTATTATGTGTATTGGTTTAATTGATGATTGATAAATAGTTATATTATGTTTAATTAATGATTGATCATGAGGTTAATTGATGAATAAAAGATGAAATTAGCTTAAAACATGATTTAGAAGTCTTAAGGATGTTGAATTCATGAAGTTAATGAATTATTATACGTTTGTGGGAGTTGTTGATAAATTTGGCTAAAAATCAATTTGACGTTAATGGATTTAATATTCAAATTTGTATTCATAATCATGTTAGTTTTACATTATGTAATTACGTGGTGATGTGTTTATGTGATATTTATGGATTATATGCTTGGATAGTTCTTTAGTTGTTTCTTGATAGGTTTCGGCGTAATGGTGATTTGATGTTCCTTAATGTTTGTTCATGTCTTATATTTACGTAATTGTTTGTTATGATATTATTTAGTGTTATATGGTTATTTCTATGAAAAAATGATACTTGTATTTATGTTGTTAATCATTCGGCCAAGGACCATATTTAGGACTACTTGGTTCTTTGTTGATTAATTATTGGTTTAATGCTTGGATGAATTTAGCTCTGGATCCTCGTTAATGGAGATTTAGTTTAAAAGTTCATGTATTCACTTATATGTTGCTTGTTAAGATTTGACCAACACTACTTGGAATGACTTAGTGATGTTGTTATGTGGTTATTGATTGATTATGCAATTGATATGCTATTTGATATCATTGGTATGTTATTGTTCAATGCTATATGGGTGAATGCTTAAGTGTTCCATTGGTAAATGCTTTCGGCCTACATATTTACTTAAAGTTCATGAGTTATGTGTTATGTTATTTGATTGCATGCAAGTCAAGGAAATGGTTTCATCATGTTTCATGTATTTAAAGACAAAGACAAGTGCATGATTTTCAAGAAATGGATCAAGGCTAGACATGTTCAATCATGGCTTATAAGTAAAGTGATCAACTCTTTGTGAGTGTTATAGGCTCCACAGGAGACATGTCTAGTACTTTTCATTATTTTCACAATCGTGCTTTTAACGAGGGCTAAATATATACATATTCGAAAAGATGAGCTCGATAAAAGAAAATATTTTCTAAAGTCATGAAAAATATATTTCTTTGCATCATGCATGCATGGTTACACTTACCGAGTGATAGCTCACTAGTTATCTTATGATGTAGGTAAATAAAATAAAGTGGGAAGACTTGATGGGAAGTTGATGATAATGCTAGAAGGAGTCGAGCTTGCCGAATGTGTGCTGTAAATACAGCTTTAAAAGTTACATGTTTAGATAAATTCTATCTTTCATGTTTTGGTACTCTTTGTTAACTTAGTATGTTAATAAATAAATGAATGGTTTTGAGATATTTATAAATTATTTTAATGGGTTGGCAGGTCTAATAAAATGGTTAAATGAAAAAAATTAATTAAACTAGTTTCTAATAATTTAATAAAATGGTTAAACAAGAAATGAGTTATAAAGTTCAATAAAATGGTTTTCTATTATAATGTTAAAAATGGTTTCAATGGTCTTAAATGATAGTGGACTTAAATTGGTTTTCATAATAACAATAATAATGGTGTTTAATGAACTAATAAATTAATGATTAAAATAGACTTTCAAATGTTTAAGTACTTAACTTCAATGAGTTTAAATCATTATGCTTAAATAAACTTTAAATGTTTAGCCTTCCAATGATTTTGAGGTTTGATAAATGAAATGCGTTAATTTAAAGTGGTTATCTACTATGAATATCCAAAATTATATTTACTTTTAATGAAAATTGATTTCGTAGTTTAATGTGTTTTGGTATAATTACGTTTTCAAAACAAAATGAAATAATTTCTAGTTATGATTTTTATTTCTTTTAAAAAAATTAGTTTTAGTTTTCAAATCAAATAGTCTTCTGTTGCATAAAGTTTTTCAAATAAATTTATAATTAAAGTTAAGGATAAAAGGCTTAGCATCTTACATTCATTGCACTTCGAGTATAAAGCATTAATGGTAACATTCTTGGTCTCGATTAGCTTAGGAGTGTCACTTAAAGAATTAATTGAAAGACTATAATAGTGTCAATATATATTCAATCAAATTCATACACTATAGTAAATTATCCAAAACCTTAAACGACATTAAGAGAGGTTGACTTGGTATTTGATACCTTTCTGTTTTTCCTTTCTCGATTTTCATTTAGTAAAAAATATGTAATATAAATCTTTATCGAAAGGTTATAAGTAGATTTTTTTTATTTGGTTTAAATAAAATAATAATAAAAAAATTATATTGGGAGAATTTTCACTCAATGTTTTAATTAAAAAATAAATAATTGATTTCTCTCTTTCATGACCACATTAATGCAATTTTTCCTTATAATATAGAAATAAAAGAAAAATACCCATACATTTATCACTGAATTTTTAATATTATATAAAATGACAATGAAAAATTGATCTAATTAGGAAGAAAACAAAAGATGATTAGCACATGTCACAAGCTATTAAATGATAGTTGATCACTATGGTTTACATTTTTAAAAATAAAAAAATATTCCTTATATCCAAAAGAAATTGTCCCCTTTTCTATTTATATTTTTTCCTAAAATATTTGTATAATCAAAACTTTAAATAATATAATTTTCTAAAATAACCCTAACCGATAAGGAAAATCAATTTTTTCTTTTATTTTTTGTTGTTTACCTACAAAAAATCAATATTCTTTATATTTTTTTACATTTATAAATTCTTTAAACATAAACATTTCAAAGAAATTTTTTATTATGTGAAAAATATTCATTCTTATAGGGACAATTCAAAATTTTGAGAGTAAAATATTTTCATCGGTATGTTATTTTTTATAATGGTTTTAAACTTGATTCTTAATTAATTTAATAATTTTTCCTTTGATTTACCTTAATTTTGGATATATTTTCTCGTTAAATTAATATTAGTTCCATGAATGCATGATTAAATTTTATAACTAATAATTTTAACAAAAAAATATTTCAAGAAAAGTATGAACAAACACGAGTAAGAAAATCAAAAAATAGCGACGGACAAAAATCCATCGTAAAATAGTGAGTAAATAGCTATCAAAAAGCATCTATGAGATTTAGAGATGGAATAGAGATGGTTTGACAATGGTTTATCAATGATGGATGAAATTTTATCACTATTTTAGAGGCCAAAATCTTTCTAGGTGTTTTAACGAAAGGGTTAGCGACAAAATAACTATACAAATCAACAAGATGATATTATTTTGTCGCTACTTTTTAATGTTTTGCTTTAGTGATAGATATTTCATCACCGAAGCATGAAATCCCTTGTTAAATCTAAAAAATTAGGTGAACTTTTGAAATAAAAAGACCATCCATTTTATGATGAAATAGCAACGGACATTAAGTTTTCATCACTAAACGAGAGATGAATCAGCAACGTGAATGTTTTTATCATTGGTTCTAGAACAATAGACATCCTTTTAAAGTTAAAAATTCACCCATTTAATGATAACTTAGTGATGAACAATTACATTAATCGCTAGATAATGACCGACCAATGATGGGATCGCGTCCATCACTTGTTTGAATCCCGAATTAGATCTCCCTTTTCCCTTTCTTCTTCTCTCATTTTCTTCTTCTTTCTTCTCCTCCTCTAGCCACCGTTTCTACCTCCATCCAAACCACTCGAACATTACACTCCTCCACTCTCAATCAATCCACACCTACTCCAAACTCTT